TTTTAGGAATTGCATTACAGTTTCTCTTTGCTTAACAAGAAGAGAGTAAGGCTTGTAGTTTATGGTAGCATTATTTTTCTTTCCACCCCTATCTTACATTTTCCACTTAGTATTGAATTCCTTCTCTTTCCAGACACTTAACCACATTATTGGGTTTTTGCAGCAGCATGAAACCATTGTACCGACCACTTATGGCCACACACCTCCTTTTTGCTAATGAATGACTTCAGAAGTGGATTCCCATTTAGAAGATGTACTGATGTCTTACAAGAGAAGCTGCATTCTCTGCTATGATTTTGGAATTGTTTCTCCCATTGGCATGCAGTGGTCGGCAGTAAGCCTCATGGAAGTAGCTCTGTGTTTTGCAGATGTTAAGTGCTTCAGAAGATGTGGCATGTCTTTTCGTGTGGTCTTTTCTGAACCTACTACAGTCTCAGTTCAAGCCACAAGCTCTTACAAGCCGTAATTTAAACAGCTTGGCTACTAAAGTACAAGTATCTACTTCCAGCACCTCATAAAGCTGGGATAATCGTGTTGTTTTAGTAATGTTGATTTGCATGTCAGGAGGTAGGAAACAATTGCTTCACTTTATGTGCAGCTAATGTTGTGACAGACCTTGAAATAAGGACAAGACTGAGAGCTGGATTCTTCTGATTCTGGAGGTGTCTCATGTCTGAGGTTTGTGGAAAACTTCTATTGTAAAATATCCATCCTCAGATGCAGGATCAAATAATTTGTTTTCCTAAATTTGTGGCAGTTTTGATTGTCACTAGTTTTTGTCATGCCTATTTCCCATTAGCCTTGAACTATAAATTGCACAAAGCTGGAAGTTTCTGCTATTGTGAAACTCAGAGCTCATTTAAACTGCTGTCTGAATAACTTTTCATAGATTAAAAACGTGGGGAGTTCCAGTACTCTCATTTTACAAAAGGGAACCCAAGGCACAAAGCAATGGAGTACACACTACTCCACGTCTCCTTTTATTGTGCAAATGTCCTATAAGAGACAGTCAGAAAAGGAGCCAAACTTAGGTCCTCTGAATTACCTCACTGCATTGAGGTGGGTGATGCTGAAGGCTACAGGTGCTAACTTCACTGGCTAGAATTAGTCTTGAGACTAGCCCTGCGATGCTGTGTGCCAGAGAAAAGGTAGTTTCTGAGGACTGAATTCTATATCCTAGAGTTCCTCTCCAGTGATAACAGTGACTAGACCACAATTTATTCCTTCACTAAAGTTATTCAGATGACTGATCCATATTGAATTTATCTGAAGTTGAGGCCATCGTTTTGTTAGAAGACACGCAACACCAGGTGGGATGCATTTCACAAGCTCTTCTCTTTTTTCCTTTCTTTGCTTGTGTCCTGTTCTCCACTGACATTTGCAGCAGCTGGTAGTGGTCCACGGGAATCTTAGCCTGATAAATTCACATTCTTCTGGTAGAGAAAAAAACTTTGCCTGGTCTGTGTATCACCAGCCTTCACTGGTGCCTGGCTTCACTCAGAGATTTCATTCCTTTCTCCATCATTCCCCCTGACTCAGAACTATTACTGGGATGCTGCCACCCCTCTGGCAGTTCTTTAAGCATCCGGTATCTCTACTGGAAACAGT